GGAGCCTGGAGCGCAGGACGGGCCACATGCCTTCACCCTGAAGACCTCAACCCTGTGTATCTGCTACCTCATTCCCAGGCGCCAAGCCTGCTTCAGCCCGGGTGCAGGAAACCCAGCCTACTTAAATTAAAAAAAGTCAAGTGAGGACTTTTGTCAGGGAGTCCACCTTCCCTTGCCCTCCACCCCGGCTTCCCTGCCTCGGAAAAATAACCCGATGTTTTGAACAACCACACTGCCCGCTGTGCCTGCACCTGCCTCCGGAATCCAGCCTGGGGTTCAGGACCGAACTACCCACTACCTTGCAAAATATCCCCTCCCCCAGCGTGCAGTTCTGGAATGCCAGGATACTGTTCTGATGCCACCACAGATGAGATGGTCCCTGCTCCCAGAGTCCCCCATTGGAAGGATTCTGCAGCTGCTCTCTATTATTATACCCCAGAAATCTTTTTAAATTTGGAACTAATTATATAGAGATATGTCTCAATTTGTTCTCTGCATTAATGCCACAGTGGGGATGGAGGCCGGGCTGTACAGAGCAGATATCAGAGGGCCCACATGAAATTGATGAACTGAGAGTTGCTCCAGTCCTCAAGCGCACCACTGGAATTCCTAGTCTGAGGTTGCTCATTAGAACTCCTGACCCCAGATTCAACTTTGCAAACAACAGGGGAAAAAAGGGGGAAAAGAAAAAAAAAAAAAAAACAACTTATTCTGCACCTGTAAAAAAAAAAAAATCTCCACACAATCTTAAAATCTTCCCAGCTTAGAAGATTCTTTCCAAGTATTCTTTTTTTTAACCTATAAAAGATAATGGAATATATTTTATAGACTGGATTTTATCTTATCCCTTTCCCTCTCCCGGCTGCACTCAGTTTAATAGTTGTCAGGGCTTTTTTTCCCCCGTGTTTTTCCTAAGTGTTGGATTTAATTATATGGGACCAAAATATATACCTCAGTAAATTAGCTTGCTAAATATTCTGTCATTTTGTGATTCTGCCTTTGAGAAGCAGCTTAATTACAGAAATCTATCTGGATCTAGGAACTTGACTTGCTCCAGCTAAACTGTAATCAGAGATTTTATTTGCGTTTAATTTTATTTGTGTTCTAAATCGGTTAGGCCAATTTCTTCCTTCTTTCTTTAGTAACATGCTGCTTTATTTTCCTCTCGCTTTGACCCTCTGAAGAAAATGAAGGACCAGGCAGTACTGGGGAATCTGTTAAATTTATTAGCATAAATGCTTAGACAAAATGAGATATAAATCATTCAGATGTATTAAGCCATAAAGTATCCCAATGAAGTCAGTGCCTCACAAGGGTCCTGGTGTATAAATGTTCATATAAAACAAAGTATCAGTATTATCTTTCCAACTGAATATATGCCGTAAAAATATCCAAATGTTGAGTAAGGAATATGGGGGCAATGGCAGGGCAGGAAGGGTATGTTCTTCAGAGCAGCCTGGTAGTGCTGTGGTGGCTCGAAAAGTGAGGCAGAAAGGAAGAAATCTCCACAGTCTGCATTAGTAATGCTCAGTCGACAGCTTTTGAAAAAAGGTATGCAGGATAGATTTGAAGAGAAGACAAGAAATAAGGAAAGAAGAGATGAACAGAGAGCAAAACATTGCTATCTGTAGAATGCTTCCCCACCCCCCCCC